AGAGAAAGCTGCACTCGCTCTGACCGAAGCCAGACAGTCCCGCTTCTCCCGTTTGAGTCTGGGTCCCTAAAGACTCGCCCGGATCTGGAGCTCAGAGTCTGCGACTCCCTCCCGATTGAAAACGCCAACCGCGCCCTCCGCCGCCAGCCCGCTCCTCGCACTCCGCACCTCAGAATTTGACTTCAGCACTGCGCCTCCTCTGAGTGTCCGTATGCGTTTCTCTTTCCTCCTAGTTGTAGGACTTCCACTCAGCCAGCGTTCCTGTGGTTCTGCGTGATGTCCGTTCCATCTTTTAGTTTCACTTTTGAAGTAGTTGTTCAAGGCAGCAAACTCCGGCGTTAACCTATGCCGCCATCTTGGTTCTCCCCAAATTGCAGATTTTCAAGGTAGCATTTGGACTCATGTGTTTGTCGACTTAAAGTCGAAACTTGAAAATCTGGAACGAAATCGTTTGAATAATGAAGAAGAGTGCAACTACGAACAAGAAATTTTGAGTGCTTCGAACAGAGTACCTGGCACTTTTAGTGACATAAAAAATCTAGCAATGGCTTTGCTAATAATTTTTTCATCAACATATTTTTGAGAGACTTTGTTCTCAGCATTAAATAATATTAAAACGAACAAAAGAAACCGGCTAACAGATGAGTTAGTGGCACTTGCTTGGCCTTGAAGTGCACCAAGTATGAACCTGCAATAGAAGAATTAGCAGAAAAACAACAGGACCAAAAAGTCACTAATTTCTAGTTTTCGTGCCATTCGATTATCATTGCTTTTACTATTATTATTTCCTAAATGTACATTGTTTTTGTTCATTTTATACATATTTTGGGTTGATTTTTCTTTGTGAAATGGCATTTAAGAATATAAAATAAATCTCAAAAATATAAATCTTTTTTTTACTATGCTTGCAAATATATATAAAAAAATTATAACTATTTCTATATGTGACACAGCACCAGAGTTAAGTTAGGGTTTTTCAAAATTTTGACACGCCGAGCTCAAAAGGTTCACCATCACTGGTTTAAACTGTTCAACCCTGGCTGGGTAGAACAGTTTAAACAGTTCAGTTGGTTATTCCATTGTTTAGAGATGCAAAGGTTTCAGGTTCAATTTCTGGTCATGGCACATACAAGAATCAGTGAATGTTGTCCAACCGGTGTGGGTCAGTGGTTGAGCATCAACCTATGAACCAGGAAGTCAAGGTTCGATTCAGAGTCAGGGTACAGGCCCTGATTGAGGGCTCAATCCCCAATGGGAGGCAGCCGATCAATGATTCTCTCTCATCACTGATGTTTCTCTCGCTCCCTCTCCCTTCCTCTCTGAAGTCAATAAAAAATATATATTAAAAAAGAATCAATGAATGCATAACTGAAACAAATTAATGGTTCTCTCTCTCTCTTTCTCTCTCTCTCTCCTTTCCTCCATTCCTCTCTCTCTCAAAAACCAATGGGAAAAATAACCTTAGGTGAGGATTAACGAGAAAAACATAACAGAGTTCCAGTGAGAGTTGGATGGAGAGATGCTGATTTTGTCGAGACCAGAGTCACCATGGGCCCTGAAAAGAGCCGGAACAGAGGTAACAGGGGAGTAGGCCCACCATCCTGTCCCCTTTCTGATGCTTAAATACACTTACCTCGTGCGGCGTGCAGGGATTATTTTATTTTTTTAATACATAAATTATTTATTTTTTTAACCTCTCTTGTCTAGTGTTGCCACTTCCTGTGACGCTGTAATCATTTCAAAATAAACCCAAAATGAAGCCCGAGGTGATCCGGGTGTGAGAACCAGGGAGGACCGGCTGTGGTTGAAGAATCACAGTATTACCACCACCTGGGGGGCTTAGGGCACAAGCGTGCTGGGCCTATGCCCTGAGTTTCTGCTTCCGTGGGTTTTATTTTTAATTATTTTCCAAATCATCACCTGAGGATATATTTTCCATTGATTTTTATTTTTTTTACTATAGTTTTATTGATTACAGAGAGGAAAGGGGCGGGGGGAGAGAGGGACAGAAGCATCAATGCTGAGAGAATCATGGATTGGTTGCCTCTCGCACGGTCCCTGCTGGGGATGGAGCCCACAACCTGGGCATGTGCCTTTGACTAGAATTGAACCCTGGACCCTTCTATCTGCAGGCCAATGCTCTATCCACTGAGCCAAACCAGCCAGGACTCCATTGATTTTTAGAGAGAGTGGAAGGGAGTGGGGGAGAGAGAGAAAAATCGACATGAGAGAGACACATGGATTGGTTGCCTCCTCCCTGTGCCCCAACCGGGGCAGGGATTGTACCTGCAACCGAGGTACGTGCCCTTGACTAGGAAGTGAACTGGGGACACTTCGGTTTGAGGCTCTAACCACTGAGTAAACCAACAGGGTTGCTTCAGTAGGTTTTCATTGCCAACAAGTTGCCCAGCTGTGTGGATGCATGTGGTCTGGGGACCACTGCTGGAGAAGTGGTCCCCACTCACCCTCCTCCTGAGTCCTAACTCTCCCCCCAGGACAATGTCCAGGTGTGGGGAGCAGGGTGGTGATGAGCAGACCTCGCAGACCCACAGCAGGGTCCATCCCGTGTGGGCTGGGCGTCCACGTGGGTGTTCCAGCCACTGAAGTGGACTCACTGATTGCAGAGACTTTGCAGACCTGGAGTCACCACGGAGCAGCCAGCGTGGTTACCACACTGGGCAACCAGAGCTCTGATCCAGCCGAGGCAGCCAAACACGAGAACCCCCTGGGGAGCCACACCCCACACCAGGCAAACGCTTATCTCTGGGTGTGGCCACCAAGCCCGGGTGCGGGAGAGGCTCCGTTGTTTGAGCATCATCTTGTGCAGCAAAAGGTTGCCGGTTCCATTTTCAGTCAGGGTACAAGCCTGGGTGGCGGGTTAAATCTTCAGCCCAGGTGCCTACAGGGAGCAACCATCTCTCTCTCTCTCTCTCTCTCTCTCTCTCTCTCTCTCTCTCTCTCTCAAAAAACGATGCTCAGTGAAATGCAAATGTCAAATAAAGGAATAATTCAAGACACACACACATCTAAAAAATGCTGTGGCCCTGGATGGTTTGGCTCAGTGGATAGAGCTTTGGCCTATGGACTGAAGGGTCCCAGGTTCAATTCCATTCAAGGGCACATGTGCGCGTTGCAGGCTCCATCCCCTGTAGGGGGCGTGCAGGAGGCAGCAGATCCATGATTCTCTCTCATCAATGATGTGTCCTTCTCTCTCTTCCTTCTGCCTTCCCCTCTGAAATCCATACAAATATATATATATATTTTAGAAAATAAAACATGTGGTGTATCTGACATCCACATGGCACTGGGTATTCTGTAGGGCATCTGGCCACTCTCCTGGGACCTCCCTATTTTGCAACGAAATAAAGGACAACAGAGGACAAACAAGGGATAAGGGTTGGATCGTGAAATATTTATTGAAACAACCAGCAAGACTGACAGAGTATGGGGCCAATAGGGAACAGGGTCCGGGCGGGAGGCGGTTAAGCCGGGAGAACTGACTGTCCCCCCAGAGCGTCTGTCTCATCCGCCAGGCGGTCCGTGTAGTCCGTCAGTCTGGGGCGGTGGTGGTACCGATTCTTCCCGAACCGGGTCTGCTGCGCGAAGCAGTCCTAGCGCCCGGACCTCTTCCCCATCTTCCGCAGGTAGTAGAACGCCACGCACTGCGCCACCGTTCTGGTCTTCACCCAGTGCTTCTGTACACGGTGAAAGTCTTTTCCAAAGACCATGAGCGCATGCTCAAAGCCCTGGATTTCTTCTTCTGTCCACGCAGCCATGCCCTCCTGAGCTGCCTTTCCGCCGCGGCAGTGCCTCTCCAGCGCCTCCTGGACGTGATGGTCGCACCTGAGCAGCTCCTGTGATGCCCGCTCATCGTCCCTGGTGAGCGCTCCGGCCGAAACCCCGGCCACCCTTTTCTCCTTCCCAGTTCTGAGTGCGGCCTCGACAAGGTACTCCTTCACTGTGCTCTCCGCAACCACCCCGGGACGCCAGAGGAGCTGGCCTCCTTCTTCAGACGCTTCATCATCATCATCATCATCATCATCATACTCTCCAAGGTAAGGGGGGATCTCGGCCTGATATTGTAAACCGATCCTTACTTCCTTCCTCACATCTTCAGGGGAGTTACCACTGTCTGTTTCAACATCTTCAATCTCTGGTTCTTTATCTTCTTCACAAGTAGCATTTGAGTGTAATGGCCTCGGGAAGAAGTCGGAAGCCTCGTGGAAAGTCAGCGACGGCACCAGGTCGTCTGCAGAACAAGGCGCCTCCTCCTCGCTACCTGACAGCAGGTCTTTTGCTATTTCCTCCTTGTCCAGAGTCATGTCTGGCAGCTGGTCGGCAAGTTCCCTTGGGGAGCTGTGGGCACTGGGCTCCCCTGCGGCGGGCAGCACGGGCTCAGAGCCGCAGAAGGCCAGCAGGTCTTCCAGAGGCATGCTTCCTTCCTTCTCTAAGTCTTTAATTTCAGAGCTGAAGTTTTTACCCTCATCCATCATCTCCTCTTCTTCAGGAGTTCTTTCGTCATCATAGTCATGGACCAACATCTCAGCCATGGGGTCAAAATCATGATCCTCAGAAGACAAAGACCCAAGTCCGCCATGCTGCTCCAAGATCTGCTTCTTGGTGAGCACATCGGGCCTCAGCCAGCGGTGGAGGAGCGCAGACATTGTGTGCACGCTCTGGAGGGGGTCCGCGTCCTCTGGGTGTTGGAAGGCTCTGAAGAATTCGTGCCCCCTTTCAGAGTCCCTGTGCTGTCCTTCCGTGAGGTTTCCCTGGGGTCGTCTGGCAAGTGGCAGCGCCCAGCCCAGGCTGTCCTGGGGATGCCCATGACCATCGGAAAATGCATGGTCTGTAGACATATTCCCTGGGAACGTCTCTAATCGGACTGGAGCAATCCCGGTCTGAAGTCAGCTCCTGATGGAGGGGGACGGAGGTATGGACTTGGTAACAGGACCTCAGTTCTGGGGGGAAGAGAGGAGAGAATGAGATGGGTTTCACTCGCTTCCAAACCCCAGGCCTCGGATGCCCTCGCCCCACTCACCGCCTCCGCGGCCCCCACACCGGCAGCTCCTGCAGCCCAGACTGGCGAACTCTGTGCCAGGCGCTGGCACCCGCCTGTTTGTGTACCCGCTCCGGGCATCACTTCCTGTTCCCTCCCCGCCCTGTGATTGGTTAGAGACCAGGGTTGATCCATTTTTCATAATCCGCTGGGACATGGTTTCCGGGAGAGAAACGCCTGCGGCCGCTTGGGGCGTGTTGGCCTGTGAGCTGGTTCGCACGTGTCTGAAGCGTTTGAAGGACCCAGACGCGCAGACCCGGCCCTGGCAGGTGTGGCTCAGGGATACCAGCGCGGGCCTGGGTGCCGAGGGGTCACGGAGGGTCTTGGGTTCGGTTCCCTGTTTGGGCACATGCCCTGGTTTTGGGTTCAAGCTCCATAGATTCAATGTTTCTCTCCCCGCCCCTCTCTTTCTGTCCCTAGAAGTAATTTAAAAAGAAAATAATTTATTTTTAAAAATTAAAAAAGCCCGCCCTAACCTGCTGGGCTCAGTGGACAGAGCATCGGCCTGAGGACTGAAGTGTCCCAGGTTCGATTCTGGTCAAGGGCAGGTACCTTAGTTGCGGGCACATGTACCTTAGCAGCGGGTGAGCAGGAGGCAGCTGATCGATGTTTCTCTCTCATCGATGTTTCTAGCTGTCTGTCCCTCTCCCTTCCTCTCTGTAAAAAATCAATAAAATATATTTAAAATAAATAAATAAATCAAAAAGCCCAGCCTGGTCTGCAGGCGATGGAGACCCGGTCGCAGACCAGTAGGATTCCGCTTGGCGGGAGCTCGCTGCCATCTCTCCTCCTCCCTCACGCCGTGGGGTCACCGTCACCCGTGAGAGCCATCGGAAGCCGTGAGTTCTGAGCCATGGGAAGCGGCTGGACCTGGAGGGTGAGGGGGGTCCAGGAGGTCACGGCTTCGGGGTGTGTTTGGAAGTTGGGACTGAGATGGATTCAGGGACCAGGCGAGGGCGGCCCAGGCTGCTCCCCTCACTCACCCGGCAGGTGGGGTGGGGCCTGGCGTGGCCCCTGTTCCAGGCCAAGGGCCAGATACACCGGAGGGGGTGCAGGGGAGGAACTACAGAGCCCCTGGCCAGACCCCATGGAGGTCGGACAGAAGGACCACCCCCACCCCCAGCCAGGCCCGCACAGACCTCTGGGAGCACAGCCTGGCTCCTGGTCACAGCCCAGTCTCCAGAACCACCGCCCCGGCGGGCCTGGTGCGGAGCCGGCCCTTTCCCTGCCTCTGAGAGGGACGTGGGGTGACCTGGTCCTGGGGCCCCAGCAGGTGTGCGTATCTCCCGGTATCTCCCGTGGGTGGAAATGGGGGAGCCTTCACCTCCATCACCTCTCACCGGGTCCCCTCTCCAGACTCAAGGGCAGGAACGGCTGCCCCAGGCGCTGGGTGGGTTCCCCAAAACCCCTCTCCCCCCACCGCACCCTTGAGGGTGGCGCCCCCACAGAACCCGGGGGCTGGCTGGCACCTCATCAGTGACTTTATTTCTGGGCAGATGCTGGTGAATTGTTTCCACACGCTTCTCAGAGCCGGCATCTCCGTCCCCCTCCTGCCTTTCCAGGTCACAGACCATGGAGCCCGCTGCCAGGCCCCTCCCCTGCCTTCAGCTGCCCCTCTGCCCAAGGAGCCCACCCGCGCTCCTCTCCTGGGCCCTGGCCCGCCTCGTTGCCCCCCACCCCCATAGGGTGTTTGCCCCAGGGAGGGAGAGGGGGCAGGGCACTATGCAGTGGCCCCTTCTGTGGGTGGGGAGGGCAGAGGTCAGGAGGGGTGGGCGGAGGGGAAATCTGGGTACCTGGACTTCTCACTGCCCTTTGCGAACTGGGACAAAATATAGAAGAAAAACTCACGCTACTTTGAACTCAGGAAAAAGGTCAAGTCCACTCAGAACAGAAGCTCCCCCAGCCCCAACCGTGGGCAGCTCCGCCCGCTCACCGACTCCGGACCCCGCCTCCCGCTAAAGCGGGGTTTTGGGCAGAAACAGCTGGGAAGGACCCGAGGACATTGGGGTACAGGTCTGCTTAGACCAGGGAGGAGCCAGGCGGGGGAGGGGCGGCTCCTGGTGGCCAGGGGGGGCTGGAGGAGGCAGCGGGCAGCACCATGGCAGGGGGCTACCCCAGAGGCCAGGGCGGAAAGGGCTCCCCGCCCTCAGGAGCAATCATGGCTCCTTAGATGTCTGTGGAATGAGTCGGTGGTTCTTGGCGGTGTGAGGAAGGCCAGCTGTGGCCAGCCCACTGCTGCCATGTGGAGCTCTTCCTCCAGGCCCCCATCCTTCTCCTGTCAGTCACTCACCCCACAGACACCCCTGAGCACCCAGTGTGTGTGCCAGGCTCTGACTCCGGGGAACTGTGAGTCACGGAGAGTAGACAGCGCCACTGAGCAGACTCTGGAGTGAGGAGAGGAGGCGCTGCAGTGAGTGGTGACGCCTGTAGCTGAGCTCTCCTGGAGACGGACAGCACACACCCAGGCTGCCTCCACGAGGAATCATGGAATTTGTCTGCAGGACAACATCACACCGACCACACGCATGTGGGGCCATGAGATAAGTGCACAGGAGACCCAGACGTGCCAGTGAGTCCTGAGCTGGGCTTCTGCTGGTGTTTCCTGGAAGGGAGAAGCAGTTTTTCACAAGGGCCGAGCAGGCATGCCCAGGGCACCCTACTTGGGGTCAAATCCCAGCTCAGGACTCATTCCCTGTGTGACCTCAGGACAGTCACACCCCCACCCACCCCCCGCCCCAGGCCTGTTCCTTTTCTATGAGCAGGTGTGATGGTTAGTACCCACCTCGGGCACCTGTGCTGGACAGTGGTGTTGACAGTGGAGATCTTCCCGGGGAGGCCCTGTCCTGGCTCTCAGACATTTTTTTCTTGCCTTTTTATTTTTATTTTATTTTATTCTAACTTTTTTTTGTTGTTGGTGGTGGTGGTGCTAAACCTCACTGGAGGATATATTTTCCATTGATATTTAGAGAGAGTGGAAAGGAGGCGAAGAGACAGAGAGAAACATCTGTTGAAAGAGACACATTGATTGGTTGCCTCCCCCAAGCACGGGACCAGGGCCCAGGATCCTGCCCCCAACCAGTACATGACCTTGACTGAAATGGAACCCAGGACCTTCATCCAGTCCATTGGGCTCAGTGACCGCAGACCCATAGCTCTCCCCTGCAGGTCCCAGGACAAGCATCTCAGAAGCACCCACATCTTTCATTCCAGTCTGGGAAGTGGTTCCTGAGGAGCAGGAAAGCTGACCGCCACCATTTTGGGGGAATTTCCCGACCAATCAATGAACACAAGCTCGGATAAAAAAAGTATTTGGAGAAGGCCACTACAACGAGTGTAATGGAGCCCATACTTATGTACCATTATATAGTAAACTCGTTATTTGAACAGTTCAGCGAAAGATTCAACCAATTTAGAAGCATAGAACAGACCATTAAAATAATTAAGTATCTGGATGTAGTTGTTTACAGTACTTTGGAATTAAAGGATTTCCAATGGATACAAATTGACGATTTAGAGATGCAACTTGCATGTTTTCAAGGTAGCATTTGGACTCATGTGTTTGTCAACTTAAGGTCAAAACTTGAAAATCTGGAACGAAATCATTTGAATAATGAAGAAGATTGCAACTATGGGTCTGAAACATGGTGTCTGTTGGTCTGACATGAGGGGCCTGTGGGTGTGACATGAGGGGCCTGTGGGTGTGACATGAGGGGCCTGTGTGTGTGACATGAGGGGCCTGTATGTCTGACATGAGGGGCCTGTGGGTGTGACATGAGGGGCCTGTGGTCTGACATGAGGGCCTGTGGGTGTGACATGAGGTGCCTGTGGGTGTGACATGAGGGGCCTGTGGGTGTGACATGAGGGGCCTGTGGGTCTGACATGAGGGGCCTGTGTGTCTGACATGAGTGGCCTGTGGGTCTGACATGAGGGGCCTGTGTATCTGACATGAGGAGCCTGTGTGTCTGACATGAGAGGCCTGTGGGTCTGACATGAGGGGCCTGTGGTCTGACATGAGCAGCATGTGTGTCTGACATGAGAGGCCTGGGGGTGTGACATGAGGGGCCTGTGGTCTGACATGAGCAGCATGTGTGTCTGACATGAGGGGCCTGTGGATCTGACATGAGGGGCCTGTGGGTGTGACATGAGGAGCCTGTGGGTGTGACACGTGGTGTCTGTGGGTCTGACTTGTGCCTTTGGCCCACGCCCCCTGGAGCCAGGGGCCCAGCTTGGAGCAGCACCCATCTCAGAGCCCAAGGACCTCCAGCTGGCTTCCAGCACCAGCTGCACCCCGTCAGGGACCCTCTGGAATGTTCTGGTCCAGCCGGGCTTCCAATGACCCCGCCCCAGCCCGTGTCACACGGAGCAGAAGAGGGGTCGCTGAGCGCAGTCAGCCCGCAGAGAGGAGTCAAGGCTGAGACAGCGCGCTGGAGTCACTAATTGAATTGGAGGCCTGTGGTCCCCTCACTCCTGTCCAGGGAGAGTTGCCAACAGGTACCCCTCGGCGTCCCTTGGGAAGAAACACTTAGGTGCCATTCCCACCTTTGTGTTTCTACATCGACTGCTTCATCCCGATTTCCTTACCCTCCCATGGAATTGCTTCCCTTATCTCACCCGTCTCTG